AGAATGTCCTGAATGGCAATTAGCCCTGGCTAAAACAAGAATAAAACTGCCATCTTTGATGATTCCTAGAGGGATTGAACAAGAATTGTAAGAAAAACAAGAGGACTAAGGGTCCGTTTGTTTCGGGTGAAAATGTTTTCCAGGAAAATATTTTCCTAATTTCCCGTGTTTGGTTGCACAAAAGTTACTGAAAACATTTTCCTATGTAAAATATTTTCACTCATCTTATGAAAAACAACTTTCCTTCCAAACTTACTGAAGTTGTTTTCCGAAATGCATGCATCCCGCCTGTAGTATGTTCCAAATTTACTGAAAACATCTTGTAGTATGTTCTTTTTTTTTTTAGTGTAAACAGGAGGACTCGAACCCAAGACCTCTTCCTTACACTCCCTCCCCCGTACCACCCAACCCAACCCTCCCCCTAGTATATTCAAAATAAAAAAAATCTCATCCTGCTCATCCTATGCTAGTAATTAATTATGTATAATAGGGACATTCTTTTCTAGAAAAACTTTCAGCAGTGAGAGTGCAAGATATATGTCACAATAAGTATTGCAAGTGATTGATATTTGACACTAAATGGCCAGCAATTTGTTTATTGCTTAAGGAGATATTTTTTATTCATATATACATTTCTCCAAGATTTTTTAAAGTTAAACAATGAGATAAATTTTCTATTTTGCATGGGAAGAAGTATGTAGTTATAATGTGTAGAAAGTAAAGATAGAGATAAAAGTGAAAATATTTCAAAAGTTAAACAAATACCAAAAAAATGAAGTATGAAGTAAGAAAATATTTTCAATAAACTAACCAAACACCTGAAAATGATGAAAGGGAAATGATTTTTATGGAAAATTACTTCCACGGAAAATATTTTCCCAAGGAAAACATTTTACTTCCAACCAAACAGACCCTAAGTGATTCATTAAGTTGCACATCGAAATTTAATAGTTTAGTTTTTTTGAATTGATTTTAGGAGGCTGTTTTTGCAATGGATATAAGAGATGAAGAAGAGAAAAAGAGAAGAAGGGAAGGATGTTAGGATTTTTATTTTTTTTCGTCATGATATTGGGAAATTTTTTTTCTCTTCTTTAATACTGATTTTTGGAGGATTTTTATGTTAATGGGTTTTGATTATATAGATTCTGTTTCTCCACTTGGTTATTTGGTTGGCTATGTGGCTCTAAGAGTTTTAAGATTGATTTATTAAAGGACACTGATACAATAAGAAGGAGTGGAATAGAGAGTGAGATACGGGTTAGAATAGAAGATCTGTTCTGCTTCAACTAGCCCTGGCCCACTAAAGGATAGTGGGGCAAGTGTAGCCCACTACAGAGACACGTGGCAAGTTTTTGATGAAATCTAGTCAAACCCAGCAAAACACGGCAACCAATTTTTACTTTTTATTTTTTTGACCTTTCCTTTCGTTGTTGATGATAATTGACGGTATCATTTCAGCTTGCACATGCTGTTCGATTCCAGGTGATGTGAGCCATGACTTCACTTGCTTATTACCAGGTCAAAATATTATAGTTTTCCCTTGGACTTCTGTGGATTGATAGAAGTATAAAACCCAAGCCTTGGAGTACAAGGATAAAATATTCAACACACACTTGTATCAAAAGCTAGGTGGACAGTGGAAAGCCTCTTACATAGTTTTGATTTCCATCTTCAATCAAATAATTTACTGAAGTCAAGTCAGAAAAGAGGCGAGAAATGAAGAAACCAGAGCTGGTTTTCATTCCTTCAGCAGGGATGGGCCACTTAGCATCAACTGTTGAGCTTGCAAAGCTTCTTATTGATCATAATGAACACTTATCGATCACAGTTCTGATCATGAAGTTTCCCTTTGAAACAAAGGTGATTAGCAACACAGATTCGCAGGCAGAAGCTTCAGATTCTCGCATAAGGTTTGTTGAGCTCAAAAAAGATGAGTCTGCTTCACAAACGGCATCTCCTAGTTTGTTTTTGTATCAGTTTATTGAAGATCATAAAAACAGGGTGAGGGATGTCCTTGCTGAAATATCTAGTTCGGCCTCCTTTGATCTCGCTGGAATCGTCATAGACATGTTCTGCACCTCCATGATTGATGTAGCCAACGAATTTGGGGTTCCCTCCTATGTATTTTATACTTCTGGTGCTGCAATGCTTGGTCTTGTATTCCATTTGCAAAGTCTGAGAGATGATTTTAAAGAAGATGTCACTGATTTCGAGAATTCCAAAGTTGAATTAGCTGTCCCGACTTACATCAATCTTGTTCCAGTTAAAGTTTTGCCATCTGGACTGTTCGACAAGGAAGGAGGCAACATGTTCCTTAATCAGGCTAAAAGATACAGGGAGACCAAAGGAATCATAGTTAACACTTTCCTTGAGTTAGAATCCCATGCAATACAGGCTTTATCCAATGATAAAACCATCCCACCAGTGTATGCAGTAGGACCTGTATTGAATCTTAAGGGAAGCAATGGCCAAAATCAAGAAACTGAGATAATTATGAAATGGCTTGATCTTCAGCCTGACTGTTCTGTTGTTTTCCTTTGCTTTGGCAGTGAAGGTTGTTTTGATGGTGACCAAGTGAAGGAAATTGCCCATGCACTCGAGCGCAGTGGATATCCATTCCTGTGGTCATTGAGAAGGCCCCCACCTAAAGGAAAGTTTGAGTCTCCAGGTGAGTACGAGAACCCGGAAGAAGTCTTGCCAGATGGGTTCTTGCAGAGAACTGCAGAGGTCGGAATAGTTATTGGATGGGCACCACAGGCTGCAGTTTTGTCCCATCCTGCTGTGGGAGGTTTTGTCTCGCATTGTGGTTGGAACTCAACACTGGAAAGCGTTTGGTATGGCGTTCCAATGGCAACATGGCCACTTCATGCTGAGCAGCAGGTGAATGCCTTCCAGATGCTGAAAGACTTAGGGATGGCTGTGGAGATCAAAATGGATTTCAAAAAAAAATTTCTCGAGCCAAGCACTGAGATTGTGGCTGCAGATGTGATTGAAAAGGCAATTAAACATCTGATGGATCCTGAGAACGAAATCAGAAAGAAGGTAAAGGAAATGAAAGAGAGGAGCAGGTTGACACTCAATGAAGGTGGAGCATCCTCTGCTTCGTTGGGAAGTTTCCTAGATGATGTGATACATTATATTCAATGACTGTTTACCCGATCTGACATCTGTCATTGGTCTAAAATTTATCAACTCAGCTATAATTAGTAAATATTTGCAAGTTTGTGTTCTGCGCTTGCTTCTTAGGCGTGTCGGATCTTTTCTTGCGCGATCCTAGTCATTTACATGTTACTTTGTTGTTTGTAGCTCTAATACATATTTTAATTATGGGGAAGTGGCCCACCAAGGAAAATAAAAAAGGGATAATTTCAGAAACCTCCCCTGAGGTTTCTGACAATTTCATTGACCTCCCCTGAGGTTTCCACAATTACACTGACCTCCCCTGGCAGAACTTGGGACCCAATTGCTGACATCATATAATGCGAAATTACTATTATACCCAAGACATTTTGTGTTATTATAGGACTAAAATCTGATAATTAAGTCATTAGGATCAAATTAGAACTTTCAATTTCATTAACCAACTTAACAGTTGGAATCTTGCTAATAAAAATTGCATAAGCAACTGGCGCCAATTTCGTTCACCAATATGGCGCCATTTTGCTGATTGACATCAGGGACAAGACAACAAATCAGTCTTTTACATATTGTGAAGAAGGCATCGGGCAGAAGAAAGAAAAATAAGAAGAAATGCAGTGAAGATAGAAGCTGAACAAACCTGCAATTTTCATTCAACTGGTGAGGCAGTGATGATAGTATTCTAATTTCATGATTTTGAAGTAGAAAGGAGGGAGTATGGAAGGAAAATTCTGAGATTTTGAATGCTGTAAATCACAAAAATAACAACAAAAAAGGTATGCAAGCTCTGTTATCTGTTAATGTAATATGATCGAATGTGACCTGTTACTTCCAGAACATATAAATTTTCAGAGTTCATCATGTAAATTTGAAAGAGAAAAGAGGGAGTATGTCAAAACCATGAACTTAGTTAGATGTTAAAGTCAAAAGCATGACAAAAATCATCATTTGTTATGTTGATCATAGTTGTTCAATGCTTGATAAGCTGAATAGATGATGTAGTTAGACAAGTTGTGATCACTGGTACATGTAGTGACCTGTTACGTTCATCATCTGTTATGTTGACCATGGTTGTTGAATGCTTGATAATCTGCAATAAGTTAGATAAATTGTCTATTCTGCCAAATATAGTTTTAGATCTTTGAGTTGTGCCCTGTTCTTCATTTATTGAGTAAAAGTATTTCATCATCACAGAATCATGTTAATGGCTGTTAGTGCTGATCTATTAATGTTAATAATGTAGGATGGTGAATAATGGTGCTTATGACATAGTTGTGCATTACAAGGGAAGGAAAGTGAAGATTCCGAATGTTGATCCTAATGGCTACTTGTACATTAACTTGCTATATGATGTCGCTGAAAAAGCATTGAGTGAAATGCCTGGAAATGCGAATATCATGATACATATGAGGCATGAAATTCCTGGAACATGTGAAATGCGTGATGCTAATGATGACAATGCAGTAGTTGAGATGTTTAAAATGCATCAATCTGGAATTGTAATCAATTTGCATGTGTATGATATGGAAATTATTCCAAGTAAGCCTGATGGACCTTTAAACCATAACAATGTTCAGAACACCCAAGAGAATTTAGGCATTGAACAAACTTATGAAAGGGTGGTTGTTGACCTTGAAAATTCTGATGATGAATTTGAGGACTCTAGCTCTGGCGAGTCATGGGAACATATGCTTGATAGTGATAATGAAGGTGATATAGATGATGACAGAGTTTCAGTGGAGAGTAGTGACTTCAGTGACACTAATTTTTCTGATTTTGAAGAAAATGAGGATTGTGATGTGGTTCCTGATTCCGAATCTGATCAGGAACTTGATCCTATGAGAGAAGTGATGAGATAAAAAATGTGGGTGTACAACCCAAGAGAGGACATTGAGTTTGAGAAGGGCCAATTATTCACCAATGTGGACTCCTTTAGAGCAGTTTTGAAGGATTATGTCATTCAAAAGGGATTTCCAATAGTAAGACTGAAGAATGAGAAAACTAGAGTGATAGCTATTTGTGGTATAGATGGCTGCAAATGGAGAATTCATGCGAGTCCGGTGGCCGATTCTGTTACCTTTATGATTAAATCTTACCAACCTGAACATACTTGTGTGATGGATAAAAGTAATGTAGAAGCCACATCAGATTGGATTGCAAATAAGTTGGTGCCTTTGATGAGAGCTCATCCTAACATATCTAGCCAGGGCATAGAAGCAGAGATGATAACAAAGTATGGTCTTAAACCGAGTTACATGCAACTTTTTAGAGCAAAAAAGAAAGCAGAAGAGGAGATTCAAGGAAATTTCATTGATTCTTATAGCAAATTACCAAAGTATGCTGTACTTCTAAGACAATATAATCCACAAAGCATTTGCAAAATACATTATGATAGGCCAAATCTCCTTGTAGAGCCCAGATTTTTAAGAATATTTGTTAGTTTTAGAGCACAAAAAACTGGTTTTCTTGAAGGTTGCAGGCCATTCATTGGCTTTGATGGCTGTCACTTGAAGGGTCCTTTTGGTGGTGTTTTGCTCACAGCAGTGGCCTTAGATGGCAATGATAGTATATTTCCAATTGCATTTGCTGTAGCCGAATGTGAAAACAAGGAAACATGGAGCTGGTTCTTTCACTTTTTTGAGGAGTTTTTTGGACCATTCAACAGCCACTTACCTTTAACCTTTATGAGTGATAGGCAAAAGGTAATGCTCAGAACAATCTACTATTTGCTTGGACTTGTTAAAGGATCTGAAATAGCTTTTTTGACTCATGAATTATGCTGTTTTAGGGGCTCAACCTTGCTTATGAGGAGATATTTCCAAATGCTAGTGGCAGATATTGTTGCAGGCACATTTGCAGCAACTTCAAGCAGCAATTTCCAGGCATGCTGCTTAATAGTTTCTTTTGGAAGGCAGCAAAGAGTTTTGATCACAAAAGCCACAATGAAGCAATGTTAACCATTAAAGACATCAACATACAGGCTTGGAAATATTTGGACAAAATTCCCAAGAAAGCCTGGTGTAGATATGCATTTCTAAAAGAAATTAAATGTGACCATGTCACAAATAATTTCACTGAATCGCTTAATTCATGGGTTGGTGATCTCAGAGGCAAACCCATACTTACCCTTGTTGAAGGTTTCAGAAGGAAGTTCATGAAGAAAATGCATAAGAGATACCAAAAGGGATGCACATTAACTAACAGAATCACCCCAAAATTTGCTGAAAAGCTCAAAAAAATTGCTCAAGCATCAAGGCATTGTACCCTGACTATGGCAAGTGATAATACATTTGAGGTTGGTGATATGGACATATCGTTCATAGTCAATTTAAACCAGAGGACCTGTGACTGGGGTGTCTTCCAATTAGTTGGACTTCCTTGCAAACATGCTGCACTTGACATCATCTACAAAAGGGAAAAGTTGGAAGATTACTGTGATCATTGGTTCTCCAAAGACATTTACCTGAAGGCATATGCTTCTATGATTCACCCTATACCTCATGAAAAGATGTGGCCTCCTATGCATGAAGTTACCCCTAAGGTTGTGTTGCCCCCTCCTTTGAGAAGAGCTCCTGGTAGACCAAGAGTTAACAGAAGAAAAGAACCTGATGAAGGACCTTCATCTCAGCCAAAAAGGTCTAGTACCTTAAAGTGTGGAAATTGTGGTCAGTTTTGTCACAACATGAGAACATGTCAAAGAGCTCCTGTGCAAAGAAAGAATCCGGCTAATACTCATGCTCAACAGGTATCATCATACACATATTTGTACAAATTAAATGTTCTTGCTTGACTCATCAACTGCTTATGTTGTTTACTTCATGACAGATGCCAACTAGAAGAGGGAAACCAGGCAGAGGAATTGCAAATTTAGGACTGCAAGGATCTGTTCTCTGGGTATAAATCATGTTTCAATTATGCAATTAGTCCTTAGTGTTACCTAATCATATTACTTTAACATGTAAATTTATTATGACAGGATCATGCACATGGGAATGTGCCTGTTATGCATTCAAGTATAGGTAGCAATTCAAATCCTTCTACTGGAAATGCTGCCATAAATGTTCAAGTTAATGTACGGACACGTACAATTGCCTCTAAGAGAAAGGTATGGGCTCTTTTATTATGAAATCCAATCTAGTGCTACTACATATGTATTCAATAAGGCACAAACTCTTCTATTTTGAACAACTGCAGAGAGGAAGGCCTTCAAATGCTACTTCGACAAATGCTGCAACAGGTTCTCGCAGAAGAGTTGCACCAGAACTTGCTCAACCAACTAATCATCTGTCAACAGCTCCTGTTCAAGCCCCTGGTGATGCTCAAGCTACTACATCTGTTAGCATGAATGCAGCTGCAACTCTGAACTCTGCCAATATTGGCACCAGCAGTAGTTTTAGCCTGCATTTCTAATTGCTACTGTTATGCTTACATTTCTCTTCTTTTGTGCTTAGTGGTGCTTTGTGAAGTATAGTTCATTAATATACTGCTTACTCATGCTTTTGTATACGGTGTTTTGTGAAACTATAACTATAACTAAACAATGGTTTTGCAATCCTCACCCTCTGCCTGAATTGCTTTAAGGCAGATGGTGTTTTGGATAGTATTGGATTGCATTTCTATTTATTTAATGTATGGTTATGAAATCTGTAATGATATTACTCTTGGATTGCAGTTTTGGTTTGCACCTTATTACTGTTAAGGTTTTATAAATGACTATTTTAGTTCTTATTTCATTTAATGGATTTGAATGTTGCAACATCAGCGTGTGACAAATAACTTAGTTTCTGCACTGCTCATGAACTTGTTCAATTCACTTCTTAGTTTCTGCACTTCTTAATGCTGGTTCATAATATGTTGAAAATAAAAAACAAATCCTATCCAAAGTCAAGTTACTGCCGTGGTGTTCCAGATCCAAAGATCAAGATCTATGATGTTGGCATGAAGAAGAAGGGAGTTGATGACTTCCCATTCTATGTCCACTTGGTTAGTTGGGAAAAGAAGAATGTCTCCTGTGAAGCACTTGAGGCTGTTTGTATTGCTTGCAACAAGTACGTGACTAAGTATGCTGGGAAGGACACATTCTATTTGAGGGTTAGAGTTCATCCTTTCCATGTCCTGCATATTAACAAGATGTTTTCAATTTGCTGGAGCGGATAGGCTTGAATATGGTATGAGGGGTGCTTTTGGGAAGCCATAAGGAACATGTGCTCGTGTTGCTATTGGTCAGGGACTCTCTTTGCATGCTGCAAGGATGCTAACAGCCACCATGCTCATCTCAGCTTTGAGCCATGCCAGGTTCAAGTTTCCTGGTCGCCAAAAGATTATTATTAGCAAGCCATTTAGAATTCACCAAATTCAGCCGCACAGACTATGTCAAATGGAAGCAAGAGAATCTCGATCAGATTTCTGGTGTTAATGCCACTCGTTTTTCTTATTTCACTAACATCCCCTCACTTTTTCTTATTTATTTCTGATTTTTATTAGTTTTCATTAATTCATTAATATAACTTGTACACCTACCTCAAGGGCATTTATGGGAACAAATTTTCCTCTCTTTCCTAAAAACACTTTTTTATGTTTACTTTTGTGGTCATGGGCTGATTTTGTTACAAAATCAGAAACCTCAAGGGAGGTTAGTGTAATTGTGGAAACCTCAGGGGAGGTTTCTGAAATTGTCAGAAACCTCAGGGGAGGTTTCTGAAATTATCCCAATAAAAAATGCAGACTGACAAGACTCCTGAGAGGAAGGACATAAGATTTTAGGGAAAATTGCAGAAACCTCCCCTGAGGTTTCTACACTTGCACTCACCTCCCCTATAGTTTGAGAAATAGCATTGACCTCGCTTGAACTTACTGATTCTTTGCATATTCAGTCCAAGCGATTAAAATATTATTTTAGGGAGTGAAATGAGAAATTGGTGCCAAATTTGCCCTTTGTACTACATGCCAGGTAGTATTAGTAAAGGAATGATAAAATACTACAAATCAATTAAGAATTAATAAACTTTAAAGGGTGTAGTTTATGGGCAAATAGGCATTACTTATTCAAAGTACAAGCTCTTTATGGCCATTTTATTCTCAAACATTTAATTTATAATAAATACATCAATATTTGTAAGTAAAATTCAAAAAATGTTACAGTAATATTCATACAAAAAGGAAACCGGTAGGTTATCTATTTAATATAAATTAAATATTTTTAAAAAAAGAAATGACCCATAAAGTATTAATTCTTTATGGCTTTCCTCCATTACATGGATAAAGCATCGGCTCTTTATAGGTATTTTATTCCAAATCATTTAATTTATATTAAATACATAAATGTTTGTAACTAAAATTGAAAAAGTGTTACACTAATATTTTTACGAAAGGGAAACTGGTTGGTTTTGTATTTAACAAAAATTAAATATGTGAAAGTAAATACAAATTTAAATTTGATACCTCTATCAGGCAATTTAAATTTAAAAAAAGATTTGTATTTTACCTCTATTCACATGATATGGCCTCAAAATCTGAAACCTCTATTTAAATTTGTATTTACTTTTACATATTTAATTTTTGTTAAGTACAAAACCTACTAGTTTCTCTTTCGTAAAAATATTAGTGTAACATTTTTCCAATTTTAGTTACAAACATTTATGTATTTAACATAAATTAAATGATTCAGAATAAAATACCCATAAAGAGCCAATGCTTTGTTCATGTAATGGAGGAAAGTCATAAAAAATTAATACTTTATAGGCCATTTCTTTTTTAAAAATATTTAATTTATATTAAATATATAACCTACCGGTTTCCTTTTTGTAAGAATAATACTGTAATACTTTTTGAATTTTACTTACAAACATTGATGTATTTGTTATAAATCAAATGTTTCAAAGTAAAATGCTCATAAAGAGCTGATACTTTGAATAGGTAATGCCTATTTACCCATAAACTACACCCCTTAAAATTTATTAATTGTTAATTGATTTGTAGTATTTTGTCATTCATTTACTAATACTACTTGGCATGTAGCACAAAAGACAAATCTGGCACAAATTTATTAGTTCACTCCCTAAAATAATATTTTAATCGCTTGGACTGAATATGTAAAGAATCAGTGAGTTCAAGGGAGATCAGTGCTATTTCTCAAATCATAGAGGAGGTGAGTGCAAGTGTTAAAAACCTCAGGGAGGTTTCTGCAATTTTTCCAAGATTTTACTCATGACACTCGACTTGCTTTTCTTTTCATAAGCCTTGATCAATCAAGCAAGAATCTGTGACAATTTGAAAAGCAATTTCACGGAAATAATAGATGTCTTATCAAATCATGCAATTTTCACATTTAGGGGCAAGAATTAAAATCAGCGGTGAAAATTAAATTGCCGCAGTTTGGAAAGAATAAGGAATTGTTATAGTGCTGAAGTCAAAAGAAGCGGACCAACTTAAGACAACATTATTACGGCATTGAGATCAGAATTTGTGTACAGATAACTAGTTGTGGATGTATGCGTTGTACTTGCAATAATCAGTGAATGAAGAGTTCGACTAACATATAATATAATCTATCACATCTTGTTGGAAACATGAATATTGTACAAATTAGATGTGTAATCTAGTTCAGATCATTTAGTCCTTTCACTTTCTCATACCTAGTCAAAGCAATTTTGAACTATTTGAATCTCCCTACTACTCTCTAGTGCAGCACATCTTCCAAGATCCAAAACCCTGTATTCAAGTAATAGAATTAGAGTAGTGCTCGTTTTTTTTTTACCCTTTAGGAGAGGGAAATTAAGAGGTGTTACCACAATAATGCAACTTTAAAAAATGTCAAAACTTATAGAAGAATTAATTCTTAGATTATTCTACGTTATAGACAATGCAGCAAAAGCAATATTGATCAGAGTTGTACAATTTTCACTTGCACACGACACATGACGTGTCTCTCATTTTGGTCACCTGAATCACAGTTCAGAAGGGGATTCAAAGCAATCACCAATTTCTAGTTGCACTTGTACGACTAAATAAAAAAATAAAGGGCAAATTATATTTTTGTCCCCTGTGATTTTCGCAAAAATCACATAACCCCCCATGATTCAAAAAGCTATACATAAATCCCCTGTGATTTGGGTTGAACTGTCAAATAGACGGAAAGCACTTATCATTATGATTCGTGGGCAAAACGCGCTTGTACTACTGGTATCAGTAGGAAACATTCCGATATTAACCTGACCACTTTAACGCACCCAATAAAGCCTAGCTCTGTGCTCCTCATCTTTTTCTAGCTTCCGAAAGTATTGATAGTTCAGATTTGGAAGGCTTGCGCATGGATGGTGGTTTATATTGGCGATGGAATTGGAATTGGCGATGCACCGAATCTTTCAAAAGAGAGGATGTAGAAATACAGATCTCAAATTCTGAACTTGATGAACTGCATGCTTTCGCCTTCCTCATCCCTTACCTGTGGATCAGAACAAACCCGGACCAGGAACCAAGAATCTCTCCTCTGGTTCCGGGTCAACCATTTGAACTGGGGAAGCTCAGCCAGGTAATTCCATTTTTTGCTTTTTATTGGAGTCGAGTCACTTTGCGAAAGAACGTCAAAGAGTGAGAGTGAAGCTTTGCCCCCAGTTGAGGAATCTGAAGACTTGGCAGAATGCCTTGCTGCAACAAGACTTTTGTCTGTTTTGAGTCTTTCCAGTGAGATTACAAATTTTGATTTAGTCGCCTTAGTCATGGAAACGTCCTCAATGGTTTGTTGAACGGCTTGCACAGCAAGAGCCTTAGACTGACTACAGGTTATAGGACTGACGTAAGCATCAACAGTAGCCTTGGGAGCAAGAAGAACCTTGTAGGTCTTCTTGTTTTGAGTGGTGTGATTCTTCTTTGGAGCCATAGTCGAGATTTGAAGATTCAATGGAGGAGAAAGAAGAGTTGTGATCTTCCCTACTGGGCTAAGGGGAGCTCCCCTGAAAGCCTTTTATTCTACTTTTGGCAATGCCACTTCGAAAGAAAGGAATCTCTTGGGCTAGATATGTCGATTTAGAAAAAGCCGATGCATATGGGAACGAAAGGTGAATGGTTTTTTCCTCGAGTTACTGCAAATACACTTTTGGCCTAGGAGTTTTAAGCTTGTCTTTCCTGCTATGATTCCGAACATAGTAACTATTTAACGGAGTGACAGAGCTTAAATAGTCTTTGCCATTGCAGGTCCTTTATTTAGGAATACTAAATCTGAACCGATTTACAAGTCTTCTTAGTCTTCCCGATTCCTTTTGATTTCATTGAAGAAAGCTTAGGAGTCATGAAGATTTGCGTGGGTGTGGGCTAGATTGCCTTATTCACCATAAACAACAAGCACGAAACAGAAGTCAGAAAATATATAGATCTTCCAACACAAAGAGGACTCCTTCCCCTCCTGCGTGCTC